AGGCAAGTGCCACCCCACCTAGCGGGCAAATTTGCAACCTGTAGGAGAAAACCAGGATGCATGGGTGGTTAGGGTTGATGCCTCTCAGAGGATGAGACATTGCCCAGGAGTCCAGCCAAAAGGGTCCCCCATGCTGCCAAACCTGCCCAAGGATGAGGTCAGGGAGCTGGGACCCAGTGGCTGGATGAGCCGAGATCCATGGTACCAGGCAAGGAGGCGCAAGCACCTCCTGCTTTACCTAGTGGTTATTGGAGCCAAGCTCCTGGACCAGGGTCTGGGATGTCACTGTAGGGGGACATGGGCTGCAAGTTCAGGTGGTTTGAGCACCTACTATGTGCATTGTTATATGTAGGATACAGTAATAAAATATACAGGAGAATTTTGCCGGCAAATCTGGGGTCCGTCCACCTCACTTCCTGGGCTCACCCGCTGAAGCCAGATGGCATTGCATCCTCCTTTGCTGGAAACCTCCAGTGGTCCCAAGCTGGCATGGCGGGAAAGGCATGTCCCAATGACTGATGTGGCCCCGTGACCTTGGCAAGCATCTCCTGGTGGTGGGCCACACCTATAATAGCACTCTGGGAGGCTAAGGCAGGAGGCTCACAAGTTCAAACCCATCCCAGACAACTTAGTAACTTAGCCTTCTTTCCCTTTGGTCCCTAAATGTCAGACACAGTGGCCACCAGCATTTCAGGCTGACCTTCACACGGAGCCTCCCCTCACATGTGACTCACACATCGTCACTTTATAAGGGGCGACCTTCTTGGGCCACCCCAGCTAGAACTGCTAAGCACTAGCCATGCCATCCTCTGCTATCTTTGGAATGAGTTATCTGACTGAATGACTTTCTTCCCTGCAGAAGTGAGCTTAGGGAGGCAGAATTCTCTTTGCGCCTTTTATTACTGTATCCTAGGAATAGCAATGCACATAGTAGGTGCTCAATAAACACCATAAAATGAGTGACTGGGCCCCTGAATAAGTGATGTTCCAAGGCCAAGCTGGACCAGGCCAGTCACTCCCTTTCCAGTATCACACTACAGGTGCCCCATGCTGGGAATGTCAGGTCCAGATCGCTTGCTCCCCGGACCACACTCACAGCAGGGGTTTCCAAGCCACAGAGCATCAAATTCCATGGAAGGCTCCTTAAAACCCAGCCCTGCTGAGCATGGTGGTGGATACACATAATTCCAACAGGGAGGCGGAGGAGGGAAGATTCAAAGCTCCAGCCCAAGCTGGGCAACACAGAAAGTTAGGGAGACCTGTCTCAAAATACAAAGTGAAACAAGGGCTAGAGATATAACTCAGTGCAAACGCCCTGGGGTCAGCATAAAAAATACCAAGCCAACCAAAACCACGAGCCTTTGGGGCCTCCCTCCAGTCTCTTTGGGTTCAGAAAGCCTGGGGCTGGATCTGAGATATGAACAAGCTTCCAGGGGCTCCTCCCAGGCCCTCAGCTGAAGAACCACCAGGCCATGGGAGTATTCACACAGCAGAACCACTGAGATAGCGGCTGCAGGTGTCGAGGGTTGGGTCTGGATTAAGACCCACATCGCGGTGTGCTCTTCATTAAGCTCCACCTGAAGAGGTCTCCACAGAGTCGCCCTCCCCATGGGAAGAAGGTGGTGAGACTCACTGCTGCCTGATGGCCTTGGGCTGGCCAGGAGCAGCGGGAGACAGCGGCACCCTGCCCGGTACTGCCCTCCGTGGACGGAGTCAGCTGACTGGCCCGTGGCTGAGCTCGCTGCCTGCAGGGGTGGGGGCTCCCCACACATGAACACCTGCAGCCAGGCTTGGGGAGGACAAGGTTGTGGGGAGCACAGCCCGGGTCTGCACCGCACTGCCAGGCTGGCATCTGCCAAAGGACGGAGTCTCCGCTGCAGAGCTGCAGAGCTGGACACTCTCGGCCGCCCCGCCGGCCTGCCAGAGGCTCTCCGCTTTGCTCCTGCTCTGGTCTTCTTATTTTTCACAAAACCGAGTCCGGTGACAACAGAGCTCACTCTGCCCCTAGTGTGTCATTTCAGGAGCTCGTCAGCCGCTCAGGGCTGAGGCTTTACAGCTGTCCAGCCGGAGCCTGGGAAGCAGGTCCTCAGCCCTTCCTCCATAGGTAACAGGTGGACACCCAGGGGCAGGTGGAGGCCGCTGCTCAGGACCAAAGGCCTGTGGGGAAGGAGCTAGCCGAGCTCGGCCACAGCACAGCGTGTGCCTCTCCCACCCTGAGAGGCACCTCGGTAGCATTTGCCTCCCGAACGCCGCGGTGGCCGATGGGCCTCTCTGCAACCCTGCCTCACCCTGGCACCCTGGCAGGCTGGCCTCTCCCAGGGCCCCATCCTAAGCCCTGGAAAAGGGCAGAGAGAACACACACCTGGAGAGGGACTCTGAGGCCACAAGGGCTTTGAGCGTCCCTGGGGAACCACCAGTCTGACCACAGCCCCCTTCCGGCTTCCTGCCCAGCCAGGCAGAGCCCTGCACAGCACGGAATCCGGACACCCCAGGGCACAGTAAGGTCTAGGTGGCGCGGTGGTCCGTGTTTTGTGTCATCCTAACTGTGCTGCATTCTCCAGTGACTCAATCAAATGCTAGTCTAGGTGTGGCCGTGAAGGCAGTTTTAAAAACTAACACCCGTAGCAGCAGTCCTTGATCCAAGAAAGTACGGTGAGCCCTGCCTAATCAGGGGAAAACCTACAAAGCAAATCCCGAGGTTTTCCAGAGAGGGAGAAATTTTGCCTGTGGACGTCAATGTTGCCAGCGCCCACAGCTACACGAAGCACTTCCTGAAAATCAAGCTCCTGCAGGAACTCCTCAAACACACCAGGCCAACGCCCCACGTCCCAGCAGAATACTAAGCTCTGGGAAACCCGGCCTGGCCCCTGAGGTCTCTTCTGCAGAGGAGACCGACAGCTGCCAGGGACAGTCCTGGGGTGGGGAGGGTGACACCTGGTGACCGATTGCTTGGTGACTAGTGGACATCCATGTCACCTAACACCACAAGCATGGCCCTTACATCATACCTACTGCCACAGTCCCCACGGGACTTTGCTTAAAGGCAGATGGGGTAAACTTCACCCCTCCCCCCATGGCACCTCCTGCCACACCGATGCCCATGCACATACCAGTCCCATAGGAGGTGACAGCCCCATAGGACACTGCCCACCAGGACCTCATATGGTGGGCGGGAAGAATTCTGGGAGGCCTGGGACAGCTCAGAGGCCCACTGTTCCCTTGCAGGGAGATGTCCAGTGTCCCCCAGTCCTGTCCTAGGGCCCCGAGAAGCCACCACAGCTGGAAAGGCTGCCCCTGACCTGGACAAAGGTGTCACTGGGTGACTTGGGGAGCGCAGCACTGGCCCTGCTCCCCCAGCCCCCGAATGTGGATGCTGCTGATGTTTTAAGCTCAGCAGAGGTGCAGGGAGAACAAGGGCGCCTTTACCTCTGTAGACCCTTCTCGCCTGCTCGCTCGGTCTCCTTCGGCTAAGTCCAGGTGGGCCTTCCTACACCTGGCCGGCCAGCCGCTGGGGACAAGGACTGGGCACAGGCGTTCTCCCTGCTGGACGGAAGCCCTGAGGGTTCTCCCCTCCGACCCACCCTGTCTCACTGGCTCACAGGGCACTTCTGGGAGAAAGAAATTCCCTCTGGAGAAGAAAAGCTTGGCAGCTCCACCTTGCTCCGGCAATGCTGGGGGCTTGGGACTACAGGACTCACCCCAGGTGGACCCCTGCAACACTGCGCGCTTGACGACGGGGTTGCACTGAATTATTGACTTTCCTGACTTTGGAAGCCCTTAGATGCGCCCGCCTTGAGTTCACCTGCAGCACTGGCAGCAGGGTACTCAGCAGAGTTAGCTCTTTCCCTGAAAAGAAGGGAAGGCCCGGAAGAGATGGGCTTCCCAGAGTCCCGAAGGGCTGGCATCCTCCCTCTGCCCATGTGACACGTTCAGCCCTGCGCAGTCATTCCCTTTGCGGAGCTATGACTTGGCCCCTTCTTTAGCACCCCACTAGCAGACGACACATGGGTTTCTAATGCTTTTAAAACACAGCCCTCAAACATCTTAGCATTAAACTCAGGCATAACAAAGAGGCCTGCATACATAGCTTCTGAGTGGAAAATGCTCTGGGTGCAGAGTCCAACACCCACTGTTTACATCCAAACTCCGAGTCCCTGAAAGTGGCGATTCTGAGTTATCCAGAAAGCGCCTGGTGGCACGGGATGAGCAGTCCTCCCCAGGACTCAGGGCTCCGAAGAGGTGCTGGAGTAAAGGGCTGCATGCCCCATAAGGCACGAGGACCTGCGAACTGTTCCTGTGACATAGGTAGAATGCAGGCTCTGAGTCACTGAAGAGGAATTGTCCTCTCTCACCTGAGAGGCTGGGCTCTTTCGGTGGGATATATACTGGACAGGACCCTGTCAGGGAAGTTAGCCTAATCTTTCACATCTGCCTTCTAGGCTGGAAACAGTTCCACATTGGCTAAGACACTGTAAGTGATAGCTTCAGTTTTGTGACAAAGTCAAGTACATAATGACTGGAGAAGGAGCTTGTTGGGGAGAGTGAGCTGGGCATGAACATAAAGGAAAGTGACAGCAAGGGTGAAAGGTCGGGCTGGGGAGGACGGTGGGGCAGGGGTAGAGGTAGTGGACTGTTTAGACACATGCCACACCCCTGGCCACCGGCAGACACCCTCTGTCCCGGATACAGAGGGCAGCGCCACCTTCCGGGCAATGACACCTGAGAGCTGACCTGTGCCTGCAGGGCAGGGGCAATGCCCCCTCCTCGGGCCTGGGAAATAGAATGGAACATCACACCTTCAGAGGGATTTCTTGGTAAATATTCTCCTGGTTTTACAACCTTTATCTGCCACACAAACCACTGGCGAACACGTTTTCTCAGTGTGCCCCAGGGCTCCACTTTGGAGCCCATCTTTGGGGAAGGGAGACTGATCCCACGTGACCTTTCTGGGACTCAGGGAGACAGGAAGTGAGGGAGTGGGGTGGCGTCGGTCACCTTACCTGGAGCCGTTCACTTGGCTAGGGTGGCATTCCATCTTGATGGTGACCCTGGTGGGGGGTTGGGACAGCCAGTCCTGCTGAGGGACCCGCGGGCTCATCTTGGAAGTCTGGCCATAGTCACCGGAGGAGGACGCGGTCATCTCTGTCTTAGCCAGATGTGGCGTCCCGTAGGCACACTCAAATAACGACTGGTCCTCGCTCACCACAGATAGCGCTTCCTGCAGTCCAAAGCAACACACACACACAAGTTCAGGACCCTGGAGGGGTCAGATGGGAGCCATTGTTAACTTGCTTACGGACGACTGCACTGCAGGTAGAGTGTATGGACTCCATTCCTACTGTGCAGAAGAAAGAGCCCCTTGTTTGCACCCCTGGAGGCTGGGCGCTGGAAGTGGCCGGCCCAGGACACTGGAGGCCGCTCTGGGGGCATCCTGGATGTGCCGGCAACAGGGCAGATAATACCGACTTTCATCTCAACTCAAGGAAGTGGAATTTCAAAGGTCTTAGGAGACATCCAATTATTTGGGTCATTATTTGACAAATGCAATCTATAATTCAAGCTGACAAGGTACAGAATGATCATGAAGATTAAAAAAAGACACATGAAGGTTGACACCTAAACATCTGGCAGAAGAGCCAATCCCAGGAGCCTCGAAGGAATCCCAGGGAACGCCAGAGGCCGGCCAGGCAGCCAGAGAGCTTGCCTTTCCTGCTCTGTGTGATCAGCTCCAACAGAGCGCCAAGGGCACGTCCACGATGGCAGGCATCTGGATGACAAATGAACCACACACAAAAGAGCGAAAGCTGTGAATTATCCAGATGCCTCCAGATTCCCTACCAGGAAGTTTAAAATACCTGGATCAGTACAGAGCTCTTTTTTTCTCCTGACTTCTACTATCTTTGCTTTTCTGCATGATTTGGTAAAAAGAAACTAGAAATTTGATCACTTTTCTCCTGTGGTTTGAAATCAAACAAATGGTCAGCCTGTATTCTGCGGCTGAATCAGCGCAGGCAATTCTGATCTGGAAACTTCAACTATTTGATTGATACGGCGAATACATGGAATGATTGTGAGAAAATCCCATTGCGGTTCCTAGAACAGAAAAAACCAATCCATGCTACAGCTTGCTTTGATCTCAGTTCTTTGGCTATCAACTCATGAGGAGCCAATGCAAGTTAAGCTGCAGATTATTTTCCAGAAAGGAGAACTTTAGAGCCAGTTTGGGGAAGGCAGGGTTACCATGGACCCTCTCATCTCCATGGTCCAGAGAAGCTCCCACCTAACCCTCCTAAATGATCCTGCTCCTAAACTACACATGCGCACGAGAGGGGCTTTTCAAAGGTGGCCGTATTACAGGGGCTGGTCACTGACTTGCTTTCAGGAGACAGGATCAGGTCATGGTGGCACAGCCCAGAAGGGCGCTTTCACACCCCCAGCTCTTCCTTCTCCCTCCATTTCCTGTCCCCCAGGCCCCTCTGCCATGCTGTGCTGTCCTGGAGCCTGCTGACCATGGACTGAAACCTCCATAAACCGTGAGCCAAATAAACCCTTCCTCCTTTAAATTGGGGGTGTTGGGTATTATGTCTCAGAAACAAGAAAGTGACCACAGCACTAGCATTCCGTTCTTGTTCTTGGGACTGACCTTTTAATAAGGAGGCTCCCCATCAGTATTAGAGTGTATAAGTAGCCAGTCTGTGATGGAGACCCCCAATCCCAGAGATATCAGATGTGTGCAATTTTATAGCATTTTCCTCCCAACTCCGTGTGTATTTGACCACTCTCTTTGCAACTCCCACGTCCAGGCTTTTTTCCAGCTTCCTATGGTCACACTTCCCCTGGCCAGATGCACTATCTGTAAGTCAGTCGGTGGGCACGGCCAATTGGAACAGACCCTGTCCCCTGGCCTGAGTGGTGGCCAGGGTCTGTGCCGAGACCACTCTACCCTTGATTGTGTTACGATGCCTAGGACCAAAGCTCCGTGACCCTGGGAAAGCCCACGGTGGGAATTCCGAGCAGGAAAGCAGCAGGGCTGCATCCTGCCAGCCAGAGACCCAGAGTCACACTGGGCAGGTGACAGCGGCACCTGAAAGGAGGGGAGTTGCCCTGGGCATGAGGGTGCGCACCTGCAATCTCAGCACGCAGGGAGGCTGAGGCAGGAGGCTCCACTGCCGGACACAGCCTGGCAACTTAGCAACCCACTGAGGCCCCAACTCAAAATAAAACATTAAAAAAAGAGCTGGAGAGGTAGCGCAGTGTGAAGACCCCGGGTTCAATCCCCGATGATGACAGAAAGTAAAAACCAAATCCAATCAGCACCAGAGACTTAGCTGAAGTCGTGCAAATTAATAAAGGCAAAACTGACGGCTGCTGAAGTCTCTTTGCTGAGCAGATCCTCGTCCCACAGCAGTGCTCGTAGATGGCTTCCCCCACTCAGGACCCAAAACAGGATGGACAGCGGCTCGCCTGTCCTCCCGGGCCTTCGGACTCCAGCAAGGCCCGCGGAGAAACAACACACTCTGTAATGTTAGCTTTGGCGCTCCCGTGATTAGAGACACGGACATGTGTGTGATTCATATCAGAGACTGGCGAAAACAGGCAGAATTTGAACTTACAAATTTGAAAGACGCCGGTTTCAACATCAACAACCGACAAGCAAAAACTTTCACATATCAGCATGTCCCCGGAGAACATATTCTTAGAAACAGCCACTGGCCAGATAAATATAGCAGGAGTTTGCAAAAGAGAAAGGCAGAAATATGCTAAGCACAATGAAGCGTCAGTGTGTTTCTGGGGGAAGGAATCCATCCTCACATCTGGCAAAGCATTATCTCGGCACATGGCTTCCAAAGAAGGAAATCAAAGTCCACCGAGATTGATTTAGAAGGGAAGAAAGGTCCTTGACAAACACTAAGATAATGGATCTTCAGATCTTAGAGTCCCCCTCAAAGCTGATGTTGTAGGAGAATGAGGAAAGGAACCCGATTCAGAGTATCAGAAGCAAGCGCTTCACTCCTTGGGTTTACCAGAGCGGAAAGATCTGAAACAGGGGGATGCTTTTGGGGACATTAAGGCAGCCAGAACCTAGCCAAAAACCTAGAATGGAGTATGGCTCAGGAAAAAGAACCAAGTAAAGTCACAATCACACACGCGTGCATGCACACACACAGAGCAATGCGACGTGTTTTAGCAGCGGGGGAGGTAACAGAAAAGCAAGGTGCAGTTTTCAGACACGTGTCTCCACAGGAACAATCAGTAAAGTTAGCTGCCAGAAGAACCGAGCGATGGTCCCGGCACTTGGTCCTCACACCTGATGCGGTGACCGGCAGGTCTCAGCATCCCATTTTGAAGCCTAAAGGACAAAGCAACGTCTCAGGTCCCCCTACCTGGCAGTCTAAGAACTTCAAAGTGGCGGGTGATCTCTGTGACCCTGTGGGATTAAAACCAGAGTGGGTGTGGGCCCAGACCGGGAACTGGAAACAAGTGGGTCTGTAACTGCAGCCCCTCGAGACTGAGGCCTGCAGCCCTGTCCCTTGGCTTCCTGCCCCGGCCACTTGGCCACCCCTGTCTACCTGCCTAGGTGTGTGGGTGCCTTTGTGAATCCAGAACAGTCATACTGTCGGAACGCTGGGCCGCTGAACAAAAAAGCAACCTTGTTTTCTTGGGTTGCTTTATAACCTAGACTTCACAGACGGTCAAAATCTGGCAGGAATGTGGCATAATAACTTAATATGCCTGCCTCCGTGTTGCTATAAAAAGACTGAACTTTAGACTGGAGTGTGCTGATGTGTGGGGTGGTGGGGGGTATTTTTCTGTAGCTTCAGGAAAGTTGGGGTGGTCTAACATGGCAAGTAGCTGCCGCCCAAGACGGTTGGTTTATTTCTTTTTTATGAATTTATGAAAAACACATAAAGTCCAAGCAAATTCCCCTAGACACAAGGTACTGCTGGGTTAGTACCCCAGTGTTTATTGCTTTGTTTGATACTACTCCTTTGAATCTTGATCAAGGAAGACTAACTAGTGTACAGTTTTAGAAAGGGGAGCACTCAGCTAGGTTACACTGCATGCCACGCTATACTCAGATGGAAAACAAAAGATGAAAACAGATAAATAAAATGTTAGACCCACTTCATACACACACCGCTGCTTCCGGCAGATTTCAGGGATCCCAATCCCTTTCTGCAGCAGATGAGCACTCTGCTGGGCTCTCACATTTCAAGTAAAAGTTAGAAAACCAGGGGCTCAGCCCAAATTTGCTTTCAATTTACGATCCCCAAGACCCATAAAAACAATATATTGTCAATACACAAAATCCATCGTACGCTTTCTCGAGTATCTGGGAGTGATACAGTGCAGAAACTGGGACAAATCTTCAGGAAGGACCAGAACTCATTTTCAGGAAGCGTGGGGACAGAGGGAGATGTCCTCACAGGCTTTTAACAACTAGGAAACCGGCTGGAAGGGGGCTTCCCAAGAACTCGATTCCTAAGTCAGCCTTTGGTTTCCACCAGTTTATGAGCTATAGTTATTTGATAATTATGAAAAACCAATGAACATACTAAGTGGCAAAGAAACTTAAGACTGTGGTCTTGCTACAGAGCGGTCTTAGAAAAGCCCTCACTTTCCTAACGGTGTGGTGACATCAGGAGGCCAAGATCACCTTGTGCCAACAGCCTGCCTTCAGGTCCAAGTTCTAATCCAATGTGAAAGTCCTCTATCCATTTCTCTCACACAGAACCGGGAAAATTTGCTGTCTCTTAACTCCTTAGACGGCAATCAGTAAGATGTCACCTTTCAGCCACTTTCATAAACAGTCATTAAACTAAGTTACCCAGCGGAAAACTGCACGCTATATACTCTGACACCCTACTCCACTGATTTTAAGATACACCTTGTTTGTTTTTTTAATGTTTTACCAGCTCAGAAATCTAGTTGCACCTTACAGCTGGTGGCAAGTCCTAGGGTATGGGCAGCTTTCTCATGTGGTAGCAGGCACAGTAACGGATGACATCAATTTCACAGAAGATAATTTTTTGACAGTACTGAGGATGGAACACAGACTTCTTGTCCCTGCCCTTTTTAATTGTTTTTTTTTTTTTTTTTAATTTGAAGCAAGATCTTGCTAAGCTGGGCTAGAACTTGAATGGAGCCTTCCAGGGTGCTGGAATGACAGGCATGTACCACCATCCACAGCGATAGTAACTTGATTTGTTCATCAGC